GAAGGGAAGGGAAGGGAAGGGAAGGGAAGGGAAGGGAAGGGAAGGGAAGGGAAGGGAAGTTATCAGAGGAGATGAATAGAGACTTAAACTTTTGATTTGATCTTTTGTTGAGGTAAAAAAGCCACTTAATTCCTTCCTTTCCACTTCCCATACTGACAAACAGCTTGGGAATTTCATAGTCCACATCTAGGCACCAACTATGGCTGACCTGCTTAGCTTTCAAGATCAGCAGAAGTAAAGATGTGCTGTTATCTTCGGAGTTTACTTCCAACAAAGGTTGTTGTTGTTGCTGCTATTGTTGTTGTTGTTGTTGATTTATTGGCCGCCCAACTCCAGTGGGTCAAGTAAAGCACCAATTTCAAAATTCTTCCTAGCGAATTTCCCTCCACACACACACACACACACAGATACCAAACACAGATACATTTCTTTGGTTTTGCTTGCCTCCTCCACAACCTGGTTTGCCACTTGCAATATCTAGAGGAGACTCCTGAACAGCAAGGCTTGTTGTCGTGTTTCCCATCATCTATTGGAAGCCAATTCCAATTTCTGTGAGTGAGGAGTCTGACAAACTACTGGAGCTGAGAGATGTTGAACAGGCTGCAAGGCTGTAGGAAATGCCTCACCGAGACAAATCGTTTCGCCTCATTGTCTCAGAAAATAAAATCCCATCCTCTTGTCCAAAGTTCTTCATCAAGATAAAGCCAAGCCATCTCATCCCAAAGCCAATGTCAGGCCATAAGTCCCCTGCCTGTGTGTGTGTGCACACACACACATACCTTGGAAACAGTGTTAACTGCTGGTGACTGCCTGGACTAGTCCCTACAGTTTTTTTTTGGCAAGGTTTTTCAGAAGTATTTTGCCATTGCCTTCTTCCTGGGGCTGAGAGAGAGTGACTGGCCCAAGGTCACCCAGCTGGCTTTGTGGCTAGGGCAAACTGGAACTCACAATCACCTGGTTTCTAGCCTGCTGCCTTAACCACTACACCAAACTGGCCCACTCATATATTATTAACAACTGTGTATTGGAGAGACTATAACATGAACTGTGTTATGGCCTCCTTCAGGTTCTCACAGTGAGGCAGCTAAGTGTGACAACCATACAACATTAATATCTATGACTGACAGAGAGAGAGAGAGAGAGAGAGAGAGGTTATTATGCTATTCTCTGTTTTCAGCTTGACTTATTTCTCCTGCTACTTACTTGAGATCCAGTGGAAATAGAATCCCTTGTGATTAAAAGGCTACTTCTCCACAGGTTCTCAACACTTCCTCCATGTCTACTTTCTATAGCAAACTGAATGACTTAGGCTCTACAGCATGTTCAGTTCTTGCCTTTATCATTCTCCTTAGTTGGGCTAGTGTTAAAGTGTTGGTTTCCCCTTTATTCAAAACACTATCCAAAGCATAGTAGAACTGTTATGCTTTGTCCCCCATAACCTTGGAAGGAAGTCAAAGACTGGCAGGGACTGGATTGTGTCTCCAGAGGCAACTGAAGCAGGAGATGGATCCACAGTGGGGACACAAATAATGAGCTGCATAACCATCTTGGTAACCTTAAGAACTTCAGCAACTTGATCAAACATCTAGGTAATTTTAGGTTATTAGCAGCAGGGAAAGGTCCCAACTCTACATCTGACTACTTGCTTTGAACCTTGAACCAATGTGACCATTATGACACTACTCTCCTTGGATGTTCAGAATTTACTGCTTCTTGAGTCATGTTGTCAACCTCTGAGAAAACTGCTAATGGAAAATGTTGCCTTTTTTATTCTGACAGATATGTAAATAGTGGGACAGATTCCTGTGGAAATGAAAGAAATGCTCTGTGCCCCTTTGTCAACAGTCTCAACTTCATTCACTTGGACCAATATCAATCCGACTGCACCACTACCACCACCACGAAAACATGAAGAGAAAAATGGTTCTTTTGCTGCAGTTCCTTTTCTGTTCGGCCTTCTTCAGAGGTAAGGTGTGATTTTCTTCTTTAGCAAAAGAAGATGGCCTACTCTATACATGAATATTGAAATGCACTCTGATTCTTAGGTATTAAATCTGAAGGTCAGCTGGAACAACCTGTAGGAGAAGTGAAAAAACCTGGAGAGTCCCTCCTCTCCTGGAGAGGCTCTGGTTTTGACTTTGACAACGCTGGCATGCATCGGATGTGACAGGCTGTGGGAAAAGGATTGGAACGGATCGCCACTATTTGGTATGATGCAAGTAAGCAAGTCTATGCATAATCCCTGAAAGGGTACTTCATCATCTCCAGGGACAAGGCCAATAGCCGTCTTTCTATAGCACTACAAATTCAGAGCCTTTCTGTAATTTCCTCAATGAAAATCTTTGTATCTTTCTTTAAAAAATGAAAAAAATAACCAAACCTATTAAAGACTTCAGGTTTCTTGCTCAGTAAACAAAACACAGTGGAATTGCATTGGATCTCAGCTTAATAAAGTGTGGGAGAGGGGAATGAGTCTGTTGAAGCCTGACCATCATCTTTTTCAATATTTTGGTCCTAAATAATATATTGCAAACCACCATTCCTTGTGATATGCTTTCCAGAAACACACTAGCATGTCTGAAAGGGGTGATTTCTTTAGTTTAGTGTTCTCAGATGTGATTCCTAAATGGGAAATATATCAGAATGTAGATATTTTACTCAAATGATCTTTTTCCACTGAAATTTGCATTTAATTCACATTATTAACTTGCAAATCTCTTCAACAGTGAGAATTATCTTCTGGTTAACTTCCCCAACACTGCAGCCATACAGTAATTGAAATCCACTAACCACATATTTTGTTATTTAATTTCTATTGTGTTAAACATACAGTACAACAGTGTTAATAAAATGAAATACCTTTAAACCTCAGCATTATCATCATCAAAAAGGGAGAAAAATTAGAAGAAAAACAAAATCAGAGAAGAAAATGGCCTGAAAAATTATCTTACAGACAGAACAAATCTAGAAACAGTGGCCATATTGATTGATCTGAGCCCCATCTCTAAAACAAAAACAAGCCTAATTTAATTGGCAACTTATATTTAAAAGAAAGTCTATTGTTGTAGACTTCTTGTTCTACCGATGCATGGATTCAATAATTCCTATGCCTCAAAACACACAATTCTTTATTTTTTTAAGCAATTTCTTTTTATTATATTGTTGTGAAAGTTACATAATACATTATATTGTTTTGATAAAATGATATTTGTACAATGATAATTAATGATTATTAACACACTAATGTTTGGGTAACTTAGACCATTGGAGATAAAAAAAAAAGGAAAGAAATATTATACCAATATTAATTATGATTTTAAGTGTCAGTGTTAATGAGTGTAAGATTATTTGGATTTTTCATCCAGCATTGAATATAATGTTTAAAAAACTGCTGCATTTTGGGTTAAAGTATTTGTTGCACAATAAAGGCTTTGGTCTTAAGCACTTTGTATTAAGGCCTCTACTATATTGTTGCTTAATGTTGTTTGTTCATGCTGAAAAAGGAAAAAAGAAGATAAACAAAGCAAATTTAACAACAGTTGGAATACTGGAAAATAAAGAAAGAAAAACAGGCAAAATAGAAGGAAAAAGAAAGGAAAAGAAAGAAAAAGACTATTTGGTTTCTAACTTCCCTTTTGTGTGCTTCTGTTCATTTATGGTATTTGTAAACATTTGGGCCCCCTTAGAAGCCAGGCTGTAAATAGTTATATTTGCCATGCCATGTGATGTATTGTATGCATGGGAACCATTCTTAAAACCCACAACTCTTGATATCTTGAAAAAAATCAAATACTGGCAAAAGGGCTAAGAAAAATACATACATCTTTAACATACTGTGATGGAATGGAATTATGAAGGCCAGGCTCAGAGAGATAAACATTTTCTTAGCTCACCA